TTTTTAATAAATTTCGTATATTTGCAAAAAAAATATTTACCAAAGATAGTAGAATTACTTACAAAAAAAGAATTGATATGAAATAAAAAATAGAAAGAAAATTCAAAAATTTCAGTGAAATGATGCAATAGAAGTAGCGCAAAAGGATTATAATTAGAAAGGAATAAAACTGAGCAAGAAAATTGTAACAGATATTTTATCAAAAAGAAAATTTCGAGAATACAAAGAGTGATATAATGGTTTTTGCTTGTAAAGCACTTTCCGGAATCACTGTGAATTTGTATAATTACCACCATGTTTCATTTGCAACTTAAAGCTGATAACATTTACAAAATGTAATTTGTAAAGTAATTTCAAAGAAGAGCTAGTTAGCTTGAAAATATCAAAAGATGAATCATGACAAGATAGCAATTTTTCTCTGAAGATACTTTCGAGAAATTAAGAATAACTACTTTTTATTTTGCTCTTTACGTTGATTTGAATGTTTTGAAATTACTTATCGTAAAACTTTTAATATAAAACTTGTGATTACTATAATTTATAGCTGTAGAATAGCATTACAAAAAAGTAAACAATTAAAATGATCCAAATACTTAAGAGTAAATAAATAAAAGCAGATCATGTTAAATGAATACTGCTAATGTTGATAAAATATTTTCTAAAAGAGGTATTAAAAATTTTTTTATTGCTTATCAAATATGTATAAATATATAAATAATAATTATAAGAAAATAAAATGTAAAATTTAAAATGGAAAATAGATTTTCGATAATTACAGTAATATGTATACACATTTGTAACAAGGGATGCTATCTTACAAGGTGAACTAATAACGTGGCTTAGTATTTTCTGAAACGCAAATCCATAATTGTAGTTCATTCAATCATGATAGTGGATGTTGCTGGAAATTGGACGCTCCTCCGCTTCTCATTCTCTTGATGCGTTACCTGATCCTTTCGTTGCCATGCTAAAAGCAAGTTTCTGCGACACAATCCACAGTTATACACAGAGGTTAGGTGGTTGCAACCTTTTCGACAAGAAATAACGGTGCACATAATTCCACCTGTATAGTCCTTCGCATTTTCACCGGAGTTATTCGTAAATTACTTCACTTTGCGCAATGTTCGTATAAATTTCATTTTATTCTGAAAGAAAATTCTTCTTTTTATCCTCCATGCGCCTTCTACTTTCGTATATGACATTTTTGTACGATGTTTAGAATGGGACAATGTATTAAAACATATTTCTTCTCGTTATATTAACGTAAACTTTATTATTAACTCGTGATAATTGTGTTAATATTTTATTTTATATTTTGCTGACATAATTTTAATTTTTTCACATTACATCGATTCATAAGTTGGAAAGTTGAGAAAGTTGAATTGTAAACAATTACATAATTTTCAAAAGTGTTTCTCTTCTCATTGTGATTAATTAGTTTTTTTTTCTAATGTTGAATATTTTCTACATAAATATATATTTTTTCAATCACGTTACTATGATATTAAATTTGACAATTTTTAATTAATAATTTTAATTTCTTTAGTTTTAAATTAATTGAATTTCTTGCATCTTTTTTGCAAATTTCGATATTTTTTCGCCAATGTGGAATATTAATAAATGAATAGTGAAATAAATAACAATGTCAATTAACATTGTCCATAATAAATTTGTTCAAATGATGTCCATTATTACAAATTGTATGTAGTTAGTTATAATAAATAATAATATTTATTTATTTCATGTAGAACGTAATAATTGATTCGGTTCATTAATCGATCATAAATTGTATTTACATGTACGGAGCATGGAACGAAAATAGAAATAAATATAAAATATATTAATAAAACGTATTATTAAAGATATAAAAATAAAATGAATTGAAAATTATGTATTATTTTAATTTTGTAATTTAATCCTCATTGAAATATTTGTTACCAATCATATAGAAGAGTTAGTGAAATCTGTCCAAAATTTGAATCTAACTTGTGGAATTATTTATAACATATTATCAATGAAGAATTTAATAATACGAATACTAAAATTAGTTAATACTAGTGCGAATACAGATGAGGAAACTTTTCATTTTATCACACATAATTAACGAGATAGAATTTAATAACGATTATGAATCTCTAATGACATTCCAATTTAACCTCATTTTCTCACTTACAAATGAGAGAATGTATAAATATTTATAGTAGCAGCATTCGTAACATTAAATTAAATAAAGTCAAATGAAAATATTCTTTAAATTCAATAAACAAAACTATAATAATCTAAACAAATTAATTTCGAATAAATTGCTATAGATATATAATTATAAAAATTTAAGAAAAACTTATACGAAAAGAATAAAAAATTCATAAATAAATATATCGTTAAAGAAATTAATAATTTAAGTGAACTCAAAGCAAAATCAGATTGATAAAATACAAAAATTAAAAATCCCTGTATAAAGATTCCTTATTCTTCATCCAGATTTTTACATTTAAAATTATAACAATTTAACAAACAAAAGTAACTTCAGTCATATTGCTTTCAATATTTTCAAACATAAGAATGAATTATAAAAAAATACCGAGTTTACAGATTTTATAAATACATAAACATTATTTTGAATGAAATCATCAATTCGAGCTAACGACAAGTTAACGTTCTCCCCCCCCCCTTCCTTAAATCTATTAATTTATATAAAAAAGAGGAAGCCAAGATTTGTCGAAATAAAATCGGAAATAAATAGTGATAAATGAAGGGGAGTCGAGTTGTAGTCAGACTTGGAAGGAACAAAGACGTGGGTCGTTTAAAATAGGGGGTTGCATCGAGGGGCGGCTCGGACAAAGAGCTGGCATCAACGGGTGCTTCGATTCCTCCTATACGAAAACGCCAATCCACCAATCAGCACACGAAATACATACACGGTGACCCGAAAATATCTACGAGCCGGTCCTGCCCTTCGAAAACTTCCCTCCCTCAGCAGAATGGCTGTAGGGTCTTCTTCTCCATGAAATTTGTACGGTAGTTGAAGACGAACGGTGCCAACTGTACGGTGCCTCGAAGGAAGAGGAAACCCACCTCTCCCCCTCCCCCCCTCCTCCACGGGCTTTCTCGATCGTAAATTTTCCTTTCTTCGTATCTTCGTATCCCGGACGATATAGCTGTCGTCTAACTGCTGCCAGACTCCATAAGGAAATCTGCTTTCGCCAGTCTTCCATCCCCAATGTCTAATACTGGTAATGGTATATCTCGTAAGATTTTGTTTTTTTTTTTTCCTCTCTCTTTTATCCGCTCCACCCTTTGTCTCTCGAGGTTTTATCTCGAGGTCGTCGCCCGATCGAGCATCTACTCGAACGGGTGACTCGTGTTAATAGGTGCTATTTGTTCTTGGATTCGAACGTAGATAAATAGGGGTTTGAATATCCTGGCTATCCATTTTGGTGGTATTCAGATATCCAGAGATTTGGATTACGTCTTCGAAGGGTGACGTTATCTCGGTGTTATTCGGCCTGGTATCGCTTTGGAAGTGAAACAAGGAAATCCGATTATAACGAGGACATTTGTTGAATTGAATTCGAGCTTCGAGTTCGATTCCTTTTTTTTTTTTTCTTCTTCTCCTCTCTTCTTGGATTCTTGGTTTTGCGAGAATTCGAAACCCATTCGCCGTGTTGTCACATGAATTATTATCGAGGATTATAATTGTCGATGGATCCTTAACTTATCGATGATGGATTTCTTCAGGGGAGAGAATTTTTACGTCGCGTTTTCATCGATTTTACTCCACCATCAAAGAAATCAAGGAGGGGGGGAATTCCCGTGGACAGAGCGCCGTTAAAAATTTTATCGCTCGATAAAAAATAGAACGCACGGATCGGAACGCAGGCTTCAATGGTGGCGGTTTATGCTCTGCCGGGAATATGTGTTTTGTTGCGGTGGGAAAATTAAGAATTTGTAGGAAGAATGTTCGTTAAATCGTAAAAAAAAAAAAAAAAAGAAAAGAAGAGGATAATAAAATCGACGGTGTTACCCTTTTATTATTATTTACGAGGAAATATTATACATCAGGTTTGTGTTCAGGAAAAAATGATCGAAACGATCTGTTCATCTTCTAATTTATTCTCACGTTCAATTTTTTCAACATTAGTATTAGTTTCAATCTTATTGTTCCTCCCACTTCTTTTTCATGATCCAATGAACAAATAGAGCGAGATAGAAATGTTACGTGAACTTTTTCATATCAGTTTATGAAGTGTCACTGACTTTGGAATTAATATTCCAAAAACGTCATCGTCAACAGAGGGAAATTTTCAGAAATAAGCATTATTTTAAATCAAAATCATACTTGCTTGCTTCAATTTTTTTTTTTTGCTCTCTAAATTTTATTATATAATTTTTAAAAAAAATTCATTCCATTCCACGATACACTCTTTTTGCCATAATGTATGACGAATCATCGAAAAGTTTCGTCAGAAAGGGAGAGAAATGTCGCGAGTGTCGGGCCACTTTATTCGAGTGCACACCAAGCTCCCGATTTTAAATAAACTTTCCACTATTTGGCAGCCGTTTTTTTCCCCAGATCGATACAGAATGCATCGGAAAGCCATCTTCTTTTCCCTTCGTCCCGTACACACTGCGAGTAGATTGTGCATGGTTGCTGGTTTGCATATGCCGTTCACATGCCATTTCAGCAACGTCATGGTGTTTACATTCTATTATACCTGACGCGACGTCTGTTCGTATTCTCAACACCAATGCACGAAACTTTCTATTAAGGATACTTTTCCACCAGAGGAAGTTTAACCGTATATTTTCTCCCCAATCGCTGTTTGTATTCTCGAACGATGTTTTTATACAGTGATACGGATTTTTATTTATACTCGTTTTTTCCCCTCTTTCCCCTTCTTCGTGATGAAACGCGATATCAAAGAGCTTACTTCTTTCCATTGGAAAATCTATTTTGGAAGAAAAAGTTGAATCAATTTTGCGTTTCGTTTCTGTTGCAGCTACGATTTGGCGATTTCTTAGAAAGACGTTGAATGATTCGAATATTCGTTTGAATGCGAGTGAAAAAGGATTCTATTATCGAATTAAAGTAATCGATTCTATCGTTTCCGAGTGGATAAGAATACCATTTTATGGTAAACGGAATTTGTGCAGTTTGATTTTTTCATATTGTATTTTTCATATTCTGTGTAAATTGAATTTTTTGAGTTCTTGAAATTATTTATATATAAATTTAATTATTCTGCATCGGAGAAAAAATATATTTATATAGTTAGTATACAAAATTTAATTACAAAAAGTATTTAAGAAGACAGTTAATTTTTAAATTGAATTTTTCGAGTTTTCTGAGATTATTTATATAAATTTAATTATACCAGAGAAAAAGTGTATTTATATAATTAGTATACAAAATTTAATTATAAGAAATATTAAGAAGGCAGTTGTATCAATTTTATGGAACGAGAATATTGTTCTGCAATACATGATATCTTTCAATCGAAAACCTTAAAATATATTAAATAAAAACTACAAAATAATAACACGCAAGTAGAAATAAAAATTAGAAACTAGCAACAATTTATACAATTATTCTTTAATTCACAAATTTAATAAATTTGTGTATTTATAACAATTACACACAGAGAAAGAGAAAAGTATTCGCAATTAACACGAATATATTCTGCTTGAACACAATGTCTTCAAGCTTAAACAAAATCTGATTTCCATTATTCAACAACCTTTTATTATATAAAGATCCACAATAGAAAACAATTTATTCCATTATTTAATTTTTAATTAAACAAAGCAAAACCCTCCCTTCACATTTCTAAATTAATTTACTCGCTCAGAAAGGAAAAAAAAAAAAAAAGAAATGAGAGATTGACGTTTCTGATCTTCACTACCACTTCCCTCTTTATACGTATTTTTCAACTACCCAGACATTTTCTTCCCAAACTTTATTTCGATATCGTCGACATTGCGATACAGAAGAGGCACGTGAAGTGAACGGTCAATGGAAACCGCTCTGTTGACCGGAATTAAAAGGATAATTAACGTCGCCGGGCGAGTGCACGCGATTAATTAGGATAGGTACCGTGACGGTTTCACGACAAATTGTTTCCCGACCACCGTCCAACTTCCCTTCTTTCCTCGTTTAATTTATGCGCCGCGATTCGATTTCGTCGCTAATTGATTTCATTCGCGCGATACCGATCCGATTAGCGACGCGGCCACTGCGCGACCCGATGCAAATCTAAATACCACTCGTGTGACTCTTCTGTAATCTCGGCCTCCAAAAATCCTTTGAGAGAATTGAGAATAATCTCCTGGTCGTTGGCGAATTTGATTAATTTATTTTATCGAATGCGAGTATAGTTGTATGTTATCAATCAAATTTTTTAGAATTTTTTTTATAGTATGTGTTTTAATATTTCGCATAGACGCGAATGATCGTAATTAAAGGGGGATGTAAATATCGAGTGTATTATTATTCTTTTGGAAATCAATACGTATTATTATTGTATTTTTCGTAACTGGAATGTTATTAGAATTATTAGTCTTTTATTTATTTAAAAGCCAATGTTAATTTTGTTTTAACGAACGAGATGTGCTGAAAATTGCTATTTTGATGAGATATAATTTATAATTTTCCGAGGATTGTTTTATCAAATTCTAGTTTTCTTAGTTGGCACGGAAACAATTCTATTTTTAAGCGTCTGATTATGAGCGGATTTATTCTACTTTGTCGTGCGTTTGATTGCACGAAGTGTTCGACTATACACGATCCTACTCTACTTACTTTTATTGCACGCGTTATTTTTTATTGTGCACATTTTTATCTTTGTTTTTCGATATTTTTTACACGTATATTTTTATGTTTACTGTTGATTTTTGATTGCTTTTTTTTTATCGTATCCATTTCACTCCTTTATTTTTCTACGTTTTAAAAATCTTATTTTTAGACAAAAAGTTAATGTCTTTTTTTCTATATAACTTTATTTATTTATTTTCTTTGCTTAAATTTATTCTATCTATTTTATTCTATTTTAGTCTACTATTTATTTGTCTATATTTTTCTTTATCAGATTGTGGAATTTGTTTTTTGCATTTATTATAATTTTTTGTCTAATCACATACGTTTCTATTCTTTTTCAATATCGTGTATATTCTTATGTAATTCCTCGCATTGTCCATTCCACTGTTTTTCCATTATAAATATTTCTCACGTTAATATCATTACATTTCATTAAATTTTTGCATGAAATATCATTAAATTGATTTCACTGTTTACACAGGATTCTTAAGAATGCATGTATTTTAAAAAGAAATGAAAATAGATCCAAGTAACATATTTATTTATCTATTCATTTTCGTAAAATTCTCTTTCAACCATTCTCCTGGATCGTCAAGCAAAACAGCCTCGACACAAGCTGTGAAAGTAAAATCCTTTCTTGTCCATTGGACGAGCACGATTGGAAGTACCCTTGGTCGAATTACCCACGCTTCGAAATGGCAGATGGTTTCAGTGCACTTCACGTCAAAGACACGATTTGCATCGAGCAGATAATGTTCGATATTTCAAGCAATTCACTACCTACACAATATATCGTAAATCTTCGTGGCTTCGTTCATTAAAAATTTACACTCACTTATTAAACATTTTTCTCTCACACGTGTATATACGCGTATATGAATCTCGTCGAACATCGAACCTCGTTTACTGTCAATTCCTCCTTCTTTCTCGTAATTCACCAACGCGATAAATATTTGCCGTGCTAATAGGTTTCAATGGAAAATTTCACGTGCGTTTGCACTAGTCGCTTTGAGAGATTCACGAAACGTTTATCTTGCGGTGTAACCAATTTGCGGCTTTTGTCCTGTAATTACACCGTCCACCATAATTCGATGTTAAGCACAATCCCTTCGTCGAATTCAATGGCATCCACGTATCGTTGATTATATATAATAACAAGTGGGAAGTGAAAATTTTTGGTTGATTTATTTCTGATCTGTAAAACGAATATTTTACGTTTATATTTTTTCGACGAGTTATATTTTAGCGATTGCATTATTTCTAATAAAAATTCTAATGTCTGTACAGTAAATAAAATAGGTAATTCTGAAATTCACGTGTGTATTATAGATAGATGATTGGAATATAACATTGTGGAAATAATTAGGTATAATTATATTCTGTTTGAGAAAAATATCTTTCTAATTTTTAGTAATTTTAAATACAAGAAATTTAAGATTTTTTTCGGTTTATATGGTGTATAGAGTTTTAATGTTTACTGAGAATTTATAGTGATACAATTTTTATTATCCAGTAATATTTTGAATTAAAATATTATATTATTTTTTTATCAAATTAGCCTTTAAAAGATATTTCGTTTTTTTTAAATTAAGATACTTCATTTTCGAAAAATTTTATAATTGCTTCCTTTTGTTGCATTCACTATATATAAAATATCATATATAATAAAAAATAAAATATCACTCGTCCATTATCAAAATAATAAGTATTTCCCTTTAAATTTAAAACCCTCTTCTCTAAAAAATTAGGGAAAAAATAAAAACAAAATTTAAAAACTTAAAACGTCAAATCCATTCCCAAAACCATATTACATTCGACTCCTTTATTTCCTTTCATCTCCCTTAACGCTCCAGACTTAAACATACGATTTCCCTATTTCGCCTATAAGGCAAAAATTAACATTGGAGAAACTAATCCCGTTCGAAGGGAAGCGAGCCGCAATATCAAGCGCAACAATCGTCGTAATCGCGAGTTCGCAAGCAGAACGATCCTCGAATATTCATAAGCGGTGCAGGAAGATCGAGTTCCACGCAAGGAAGCATCGACCAAGCAATCGTAGCAAAAGTAATCCACCGTTGGAACTCGAAAAACCCTTACATTCTTACGTCCACCGTGGTAATCATCACCCTCGTGGAGCTGTTTGCTAGCCCTCTGGTAGAATGGGATGCGATCCCGTAGAGGGCAAATTTCCTTTCTTCCATCACGAGAATATAACGTTAAAGATAAAAAAAAAACCGATGGAACGAGAGGCGGCGTGAATTTTCAAATCAAACTTTTCTAACTCTTCCCTCAAGTGCGAGTTTCCTTGATCGAGCGAAATTAGAGGGACCGCTCTTACCGACGGTGCTTCTTGGCGGGATTATACGTACAATCTAGGATGTGACGATATAGGAGGGAAGAGTGGGGGACGATCCGTAGGCGGAGAACGCTTAGCTTGATATTGATCGACCCTCTCCCTCCAAGCGTCCCCCCGCCTTACCCTTTTCCTCGTTCTTTCTCTTTCTCTCGCTCGCACACGTTGCAACTACATGCTGCTCCGTTTCCGCCGATCAACGCGGCTGCTTCTTTTCACGCCTATCCTTCGAGGGGAACGTGGAGCTTTACGATGTTGTCTATGGGCGCGATATTAATACTATTTGTGCGATTTTTATTTTATGGATAGGAAGATTATATGGGGGATAGGTATAGGTGTGTTCATCTAGATACCGTGAAATATCTTTTAAAGAAAGAAGCTTATGGAAAAGATGATTTTTTTTATTTTTTAATTGCAATCGAAGAATTAATTGTTGGTTGAAAAAAAACATTATAAATTGTAAAACTTAGGAGCACAAACAAGTAGAGATTTTCACGTGTCCCTTGTTTTTCGATAATTTAGACTTTCCAAATCTAAACTAATAATTTTTTGACACGATTGATTCCATTCATATCATTAAATGTCTATTTACAGAAAATATATTTAAATAAAGTAAGATTGAAATTCAGAATTTTTTAATAATACAAAAAAAAAAATTTAATTTCAATGTTCTTCGTGTGGAGAAGACAATTTTCGTGAAATTATTTTCGAGAGAATTTTAAAATCCAAATATTTTTTTTACAATTGTAGAAATTTGTGAAATTACAATTTTACAAATCGAAATATCAATTTCGATCTTTTTAGAAATTTTAAATATAAATTTATCGATGTTTACATGCTCAGTTACGTAACATGGATCGTTGCTTCTGTTTAAACTTCTCCTGAAACTGTAATTCCTTATCCTTATCGTATAAGGAAATACATAGCTTTTCTCTGATACAATTTTACGAATTGTTTGAACT